AGAGGACAGACATAGAAGGTGTGGGGCTACTCCCAGGAGGACGACATCTTGACTTGGAGTATGCAGACGACAATGCCCTCATCTGTGACAGCTGCCAGATATGCCAAGCTGCATTGGACAGATTGGCGCTGCTTATCCGTCACTTCGGGCTTTGATTTGAACTATCGAAGTGCAAATCTATTTTTTCAACATTGGCAGGGATCGCCTCCTGCGCTGACCCTTGCTGGGGATCAGCTGTCAGTCATTTAGAAATTTAACTACCTGGGAAGTTGTATCAGGGCCCTTGGGATCGAACGCGGGATCACGAACCCTAAAGCAAAAGCTCAAAGTGTTTTGCTAACCTTCGCCACCAATGGTGGCGGCGCAACATCACTCTAGCCCTGAAGGGTAGAGTGTACAGTGCAGCGGTACGTTCCACCTTATTGTACCGTCGAGAAACCTGGCTCCTTAGATCAACAGACATAAAGCGGCTATTTACCTTCGACCATCGGTGCCTTCGCAGTTTGGCTCACATCTGGTGGAAACACCGGTTAAGCAACGTGCGTGTTCGACGTCTTGTTTATGGCACAGAAAAATGAACTGAACCGTTCAACACCGTTATTTCACGCACCAAGCCCCGATGACTCGGTCACGTGTTACGCATGCCAGCCCACTGACTCCGGTGACGTGCGTTGTTTGCGCGCCGTGGTCGTGGATGGAAGAAGTGAGGTGGCCAAGCCATGAGTTGGTCGATAGGAATGAAGGTCTTCACTTCTGGGCTGGCCTCAGTTGGAGCTCCTCGGCTCCCTGGTTGGGGAGCAAAAGTCGATGAACACGTTTGGATAGATACAAGTGTTGATCTGGATAGGAGCCGATCTCAGTGGCGTTCCTGCTGTGAGTTTCTTTGTTCCACGCCATCCCTCTTAGCCTCCCCTCCAACCACGATCTAATTTCACAGAATAACATAATTTTACGACATAAATTTCCTTGTTGTCTAGTAGCCTGTTGGTGGCTTACCGGAACGTTGCACATCCGTCTCTGGTGGCTCAGCCAGCATGCAACAGTTGTATTTATTTTCTTTTTATTTTATGTATTGCAGCACAGTAGCTGAGGTATTTCCCACCTCTAGCTAACTTGTATAATGATGATGGCGATGATGAGTTGATCGAGCACCACTACCTTCGCTCAGTATATTAGCGTTTATCAAAACGTTGACGTATATAGTATGGAATTTCATAGCAGGGTACCTCTAGCAGCGAAACAGCAGGATGTCAACAGAGGTGGTTTACTTTGTCTCATTCTAGCAGATGGCATAAATATTTGGCTTTTTTGTTTAAGACAAAAAACCGTGCGGAGCAGCCACATTAGGATGACTTTATTCTGTTTGGGTTCTTAACTATTTTAGTTTTACTTCTCACTGTGTTTTGTTAATGTCTGCGTTTATTTGCCTCCATATCTGTTTAGCCCAGCTGGTTAGACTGATTACTTTAACTACTCGATGCCAGCTAATGATAAGCTTAGCTCATAGGCATAGAAGAGCAGAACAGTTTGATGGTGCCATGTGATCACAGAAAATAACAACCAATCTAAGTTTCATTCAGACTTCTCGATAGAATAATAGGAGCTGCAAATAAAGACCAGAACCATGAAAATTTCAGCTTGTCTTGCCATATTCATTTTCATAATGCCTAGCTATTACTTTCAACAGCATACAGGAATTTGTTCTTTGGGTTACAGTACGCGATAATGTGCATTGAAACCAATTTGACAATACTTCCAAATCCGTGTAAAACAACAAGCACTCATGAACTAAGAGCAATTTGGTAACCTACTGTGATATTGGCTTCCTATCGGTTTATTCGAGTGATGGGAATTAGTATAGATTGAACTGAGTAAGCAGCACAAAATAAACAGACGGATACTGCATAGTGATTGACCGAATCCGCATATGCATTTGTGCTTACCATTCGCCAAATTCACAGGCCACCTGCAATTGCATTACCAGTTGATTAGGGATAGTATATATTGCATAGAATTAGAACCAACAGCTGGATATTTTCCAAACATAAACCATGTAGCATAAAGGTATGAATTTTTGGGACCGATTGTTTCAGATCTCTTTATTTTATGCACAATGATTGGGTCGCAGGTGCATTTTACAAAGGCTATCAATTTCTACCATGTGGAGCAAGCGCTACTGCACATAAACCGTTCCGAGGATCAATTGATTTGTCGGGTAAAGCACATCAAGCGGAAATAAGATACAGGCAAGTAAGGAGCAACCATGCAATACATCTTTTACTTCGTGCAACTCAGTAACCAATGTGAGCAACAGTAGCCTGTTTTGTAAGTCACCATGTTTACGTCATTTCGACGCTTGACAAATTCAGTCAGGTAGCAGTTCTCGATCTCTAAAACTACTGTTTACACTCAACTGAGATCATGTTGGCAGTTCGACCTACCAGATAAAAAATACACAGATTGGCGGACTACATCAAAAAAAGGTATTTAGTGTATGATCGCTGATATGGACCCCAAATCAATCACATAGATACTCATGCACAGCAAAGATAAGGGCGTGGGTTTACTAAAATAATAACGTTAAGGTGAAATAACTGGGAGTTGCTTGTCGCACTAACGCCACACTACGCTACACGGGCGATTGCATACACGCCCGCTGGCATCATTAATTCATGTGCCAATGGTTAGCATCTCCATTGGCAGACCGGGAAATCAACCACTGAAGGTTGAATGTCACTTATAGCTGCTTTAGAAGTAGGAGGATTGCTTTCCAAAAGCAGACTTGGAATGACTCAAAACTGTAAACGCGAACTAAAGGTGTTGGAAAGAACAGAAGGATTGTTGTTGCAGCTATAGATATATCGCCCGTGTACTAGCCTTCTCAAATGGGTTCTCTAATTTTCTACTTCTTCTGAATTTTAACAGGAAGTATCCACAGGTAACAGCGATTGCAATTGTTTGGTGCATTGCTTTTACTAATATATATGTGTCACTGTTGTTTATGGTGGTTGCCATATTAGTATACAATCCGCTAACCTTCCTCCATGTACCGCATGAAATTGGAATAGATTAAATATGAAATTCATAGTTGAAACTGATTTAAGTGCGAAATGGACTTTCGCCGTTTGGGTTAGCCGCGTCCTGTCCTTATCTCCAAAAGGAGGACCAACTGCAATGTTGATTCCTTTTAATTCTAGAACACTCCGTAGTAAGTCAATGGGTTACTCTTATGTTGTTTAGCAAATGCGAAACAACAGTGCATGAGATTCTTAACGAATCTTTCCATCTACAATATTCCACGAATTTAACATAACTAGATTCCTGGTCCAAGCTGGATGAATGACCTGGAAGAATTTTAGTTCCAAGTGCAACTGGAACCGCAAAAAGTGGTAAATGCTGTGCAGTTTTAGCCGGCAGTCTTTCCTTCAGATTTTAATATGCTTATGAGCCATCGAATGGGCATCCGGCAGGCACAGGACCGGATGCTAATGAATTGGAATATTCAGGAGAATAGTTGTCATTTCAGTGATTGCTACTTACTGGACGATTCTTTAATCTATTTTTACAATATGGCGTGTTACTTTATTTTTCTAAGGAAAAGGAATTCTTCACTGATTGAAACGATGGGATTTTTCTGCAACTTTGAACGACTTGAGGTTTTCTATCAGTTTGATTGCAAGGCGACGAAGTGTCCACGGAGTTGTGGTCCAATAGGAAGGCAACTGCGATATTCCACATCAACGCAGGCAAAAAACAGCCTGCAATCTGTATTCCTGTTACATGAATTTGTTTTGCAAACTTGCGTGAATTGGTGCAGTGAAGCCTATTTCCTCTAAAATGTTATTCTGTTTTTCGAGATATTGACTAACCACGCTACTGGCTTTCGATAATGATGATGACATCAGGAATGTTTTTCAAACATTCTTTTGCATGAATAATCACATTACAGCTCATTTGTTGCTGTCCTCAAATGTGCCGTACTCAAAACTTTCCGATTAAGTAGCATTTTATTTTCGATTATTAAGGTAAGAGTATGGTCTGATCGAACAATGCCTTACTCAGGAGATCAAAGGTAGCTAATTTTGGCTTCGTTGACAATAAAGTTAAAGAAGTACCACTATGGCTACAAAAGTTGCAACACTCTACATTCTTCATCCTTGCTTGAAACCATTTTTGCATAAAAGTTTTGTAAACATATAGGTTTCAAACCCGATTCAATGTGATTTGGTGCATGGCATTTGAACTGGTATTAGCCCTTGTTATTTTTCGACCAAACTTTGTACACAAAGCGACACCAATCAGAGGCAATTTCTTGTCTGCAGATCATCAATTGTCGTTCCTAGTTTTAATGCCCCTGTTTCCACCATTGTGGACTAGTTATTGTTAATGAGCTTGCAAAATGCTGTCTTATCTTCAAATAATCTGATTATACAGCATTTATCCACTCAACCCGCATTTGTATAACGAAACTTCTTGTAGCGTAATCCTTAAATTGACGTAAGCTCTTCCAGCCATGCGTCGTAACGCATTTTAATTACCTAATCTGATCGCTTAAAAGTAGAAGCCTTGCAGTTAACTACAGCCATACAAATACGCATGCGCATCGATCAGATTTCAGGGATAATTACATAGGCTTTGCGATTTAATCCCTTGTGTCCTTGAGTCAACCGACTTCTTCGCAAAACTCAGTGGTAAATAACTTAACAAATTAGCTGGAGGATGGCACGTTTATCAGTAAGGTTTTCTTGCCTTTGAGGCTGAACTTCAAGTACCGAGTTGCATCCAACTAGTGATGAGAAAAATACGCACACAACTAAAGCAAATAAGGAAGTTATCACAACTAGTTGACTTAAAATCTGAAGAAAAATGAACATTGACCGCCTTCAAGCAGTTACTCCCTACACATCTATAATGATAGAACATAGTCGTGAAAACAGTAGCTGCCATTGATTTTGGGAACATAAATTAACGAAAACAATCAGTTGGCAAAATTTACTCACTAAAAGATAAAGAACCATGAAGCGCGTAATATCGGTGAGCATGCGAGTGAAGGAGATTTGTAAAGGCCCCAAAGCTTCAAAAGCTGGCATCAGGTAAGTGGTTCTGGCAAAGCTGACCACATTAGCAACGGCAAATAGTACGTCGGATACAATTTCCGGATCGTCATATCTCCATCGAAAGCGAGCTACAAAAAGAAAGAAATGAGTGAAAACATGAAGCAAGCACCGCAGTGTCGTTTTTGCATGACGAACGTATTTACAGTTTGCGATGAGATGCTTTCCAAAATATACTAAAGAAGGTCACAGTGAGTATGTTGTCGGATGTTCCAACAATGTTTTGGAATTTCATTTACTAGACCTTCACTTGCAATAAATGTATTTTTCTAAACCTTGGCATCGAGAGAAGAACAAATTGTTCATTTGGCTGGAAGACACCGTGTGCACACGCGTCGTAATGTATGACCACTTTCCTCAGTGGCCTACCTAATGTAAACTGGTATTGCGCTTTAAAGTACACGGACCAAACAAAAAAAGCTAGACAGCAACAAGCATTGCAAAGTTTCTTTTGGAGACTATACGTGATATCCTTAATAAAGTCAAAAATCAGTTATCACATATCAAAAGAGAAAAGTTTCGATGATCGCTTTGTGCAGCGTGCAAAATAAAACGAACAAGAGTAATTAATTTGACACACTTGTTTTGGTACAGCTAGATTTGTTAGGTCCGATTTTGAAGCAAGTGTTGATGTGTACGTCGCCTGTCTAGAGGCTTACGTTGCTGTGTTCAAGTGCACGTGAGTTTACTCTATTAGTGATTACCGGGAGATACATCTTTTATTCGAATGTACAGATGTGCAAACAAAGATACACCATTCAGAAAGAACATCAGTTAGCGGCTGTCATGCATGCTAGACTGGCATTGAATGGTCTTAAAATGTTGCAATTTACAGTTACGTTCACTTTCACAATGATACCTAAAAAGTTTTAAAATTTATTTCTGGAACGATAGATCAACTATTCCTGGAAAATTGTAAGATTCAAAATGTTAGTCTAGCACGCAAGCAAGTTTGCTCATCCACCTACGGATTTATTTCATCCGTACAGAGCAAATTCAGCATGGCCGATGGAGCAAGTTTTGCGGGCGCGATAGCCGTACTTTGTCATCTCAAAACATAAAGCTAAAACACTAAACAAGAGAATACGGTGAGGGATGAGGATGTATCTTTTCAAGTTGCTTTACTTGCAGCAGTTGTACTTATGGTTCATATTTTCATTTTCATAAAACCTAAAGAAAATACTTTTTGGGAGCTCGGTATTTTACAAATGAAAGATATGAAGGCAGCTATCTGTTCATTCATGTCGTACATTAACGTCATACAGATATTTTAATTCAGGTTGTAGGTTTCAGTAAAGTGACCTGCTACACACCTTGTTATAAACAATTTAGAATTCGGCTAATTTAAATTAATGTGGTTTCTATAAGCGCATCACCTGTGCTGCGGGTACACCTTGTCCATAAAATAACAGTAGTTTACTCGAAAAGAATTGCAGTTAGAGTAAAGGTACAAGTGTGTGAAATAAATAAATAATTTATGCACTTACAACTAATAGTGAACAAAATAAGTTTACGTGGGCATCTGGAAGTTTCAGATGAAAATATCAACGAGGGTGATATCTAGGTAAACAGCTCCTAAAAGTTGCGGAACCACCCGTTGACACTGTGTTATATACCGGGTCACATGCGTAAAAGTCTTGCAGCCTTCCTCAAAGATAGCAAAAGCTTCATTATCTGCTCGGCTTGCGTTAGGGGTTTAGTTAAAATAATGATTTCATCACCTTACTGAACATGTAGGTTTAAATACCAAGCATTGTTATGTGCCCTGAGCTGGTACCGATAGATATGAGAAAGAAGTGGAATTTACAAGTTGGCTAAATTGGACTGAATTCTAGGACTTACAGCTAAACCATGTGAAGTTCTTATAGTCCCAGAATCTCATAATACTTTATCGATATCTTTGTATATCCTACATCTAGTGGTCATGCTTGGAACTTGACTTCGTTGAGCAAACTTTTACGCCAAGACGAGTGAAAGACCATGTTGAGTCAACTGTTACACAAGTACGAACTGCTCGTCGAGACCAAGCTCAGCTTTGGCGAATATACGCTACAATGCCACTAACCTATTTTATTGTGTCGTTTTCAGAAATCAGTAATGCTCCGATTTACCATATGAAAGACAATTCGTTTTTTCTCCTAGTAAAAACCTGGAAGCGGCTTGAAGGCACGGTCACAACACTGTCATGTTAGGCCGCTTACTCAAACTTATCTTGCTGATGATATTCCTGATGACTGCTTGCAAGTAAAGGTGAAGAAATTTCACTATAAAGCTATCCACGAATCATTTGTGTGCAATATTTAATTAAGATACATAGCATTACCCAACTACAGATGTGTAAACCCTTAGTTTATGCTGAGATGATCCACCTGTGAAATCACATGTGGCATCTGTACTTTACTATTTTGTAACCCTATTAAATGAAATAACTCGTTCGATCTGGTAACATAGCATATGTACAGTCGGAAGGAAAAGCAAATTCCGTTTTTAGTCCGTACTCGTTGAAGATATGGTTCTAATTAGGTGACACTGAGTTTGAGCTTTGTCATACGTAACAATGAAATTTTTATACTTCAAGCTTCCAATGCAGTTTCATCGGAAGCAGAGGTTACTTTTGAGTCTCATGTATTCAACCGACGCCATAAAACGATTACAGATACCTAGCTAGAACGAAGACTACAACAGACCCTTTATAGGGCTCTTAATTGACAAAGCCCTATTTGATTATACTGGCGGAGTGGATAAACGACGAGCTAGCCCCAAAGGACAAATTTTAGTGCTGATGATATTGTCACCTGTATGTTGTAACTGTGCCTCATGCTGAGGCTGATGTTGCGTACTTGATGCTTCTTCACCGCAGTTGGGCTAAACCAACTTACACTTAAACTAGGTCGTTTAAGCTGGATACATTTCATTCCACTATTTGCTTTGTTCTGCCGACCTGAATAATCTTCTATTAACGGGCCACCTTGCGTACACTAATTGCGCTTATCTTCGGTAACTTTGTTGCTTTTGTAGCATTTTTAAGAATTAATTGCAACCGCAAGACACATTTTACGCTGTTCACTACCGCAGACCAAGTAAAAGACTCGGTCAGCCGTTACTGTTTAAGCTTCTGAAGGATTGAGAAAAACTAAGCTTAGCCTAATGGAGTTCATCATTCTCAGGGTCAAAAATTAGGTGGTTTCCGAGCAGTTAAGCACTTGATAAACCAAAATAAATTGGACAAACTTAGTTACTATGAAAATATGGCTATGTTGAAGCCCTTAATATTTGCATCCTGCCTCAGGATTCTCACACTCACACACTCTTTACCCATTGCTTTACTGGAAATTGTAAAAGCTATTAATTCTACCTCGTACATCTTGCTGCATCGAGCGGCATCCTCTTTTGGTGCCGCTCTTTTCTTAAGCACTACGCAAATCCTTATTGCGCCACCGAGGACTTGGAGTCCCTCATGACCTACTTTCTTATTGGCTCCATATTAGAGCCATTGATGAAGCGTTACACAAAGAGTCTAACGTACAATCTATCCTTCCAAAGGGACCAAGAGATCAGACTGCTTACTTAAATGATATCATACTGCCGGCTTGTGAAGGAGAAATTGTGATCGAGCGCCTAGGTAGAACTGAGGAGTAAACTCCCGAGCGAAATGACTCGACCAGCTCAAAGCACAGTGCAAGGATAAATCTCAATTCTTACTCAAGCCTTACACTTTAGATACTCGATTGCAATTCTATTGGCGTTCAAAACAGCGCCTCAACTGCTTTCTAGTTAGTTAACGATTACTCTTCTCTAAATTTATGCAATACCTGAAGTCGGCTTTCTGTTATTAGCATCACACTAAACTACTCGGTAGTAAGCCAGTCTTCGCCTTTGTGGACACGTTTGTTTGTGTCCTCCAATTTAACAGGAAACTCCTGATACTCATATTAGCGCAGCCTTCTAAATGCGTGACTCTGCATCACAGTACGACATCACACGCTTCATTAAGGATTGCTCAATAAACCAGATAGTTGCCTGACCTAAGGTGCGTACTGCAGCACACACTCGACGCAGTTAACATTGGTGGTCATCTGGTGCAGACAGGAACCCAACCGAATGTACAATGTTTGTTTATTACTGTAATCAGAAACTATGGCAAACTCAGAACCACTCCTAAGTTGCCAAGGCACAGCCTCGTTTGTTGCTCTGGAGACGGTGCGAAATCCGTTAGAGATGATCTACCTGATTCTGGCTAACCTAAACGTTTTCAATCCAGATGCGATCCTGGTTAGCCAAAATTGATGATGGTGGGCAACGACAAAATAGCTTCCGTGTATATTCTGCGGCTCACCAACCTGACATATGTACAGCTGCAATGGGGAGGAATGAATCATCCCGGCTGAAATTTTCGAATGAGCAAACATGGGCAATACTTCTCCATCGGATATAGTTGTTGCATGATCTGAGGTGAGTTTCTGCCCCAGGTTCAACCAATTAAGCTAATGCTTGGGGAAATAATACAGGGAAAATCTCCTCAGTCGTCCAAAAATGTTACGGGGATGATGCGACAACAATACAGTATAAAGTTAGCAGGAGGAGCAGTTGTTCCCCAGATATTTCGCAAATATCTTGCTCCAGACATCGTAGTTTTTCACATGCACAATCCTGACACAATCAGGCTCATGCGCGGGAACTCCGCAATTCAGCTTCTTTGAAAAGCCCACAGATTGTGTGTAAAGCCTCTTGTCACTTACACATCCGCGACTACAGGGAGCTTATTTCTGCTTTTGTATTCGTCACCCATGTCTATACCGCCTGTCTCGGTACCAAATTGAGTCTGCGGCTATGTAATCTCCTTTCTGCTGGGTCGTAAAGGCGCAGATATGTCTTCTCCCCTCTTGGGGTTGGGTAGCAAGCTGTACACAGTGCGAGTACCACGGAGTGCTTTCCGTCTATTTCGAGAGAATCGGCAAGTGTGTTCCGTCTCTCTTAGGGTACAAGTTATGCGGAGACGATACTGTTAGTACCGAACGTATTGCATGAGCCGAATAGGACAGTCGCAGCGACCAGCCCGTTACAATAAAGG